CCAAACCCAGGTCACACCTGCTCACTGCAGGTGGCCCCCAAGGCACTGTCCTGGGCCCTCTTCTCTTCTCCCTTTATGCCATTTCACTTGGTGATCTCATCCGTTCCTATGAATTCAATTACGTCTATGGAAATGATTCTCAGTTCTATCTGTCCAGCCCAAACTCTCTGCTAACTTCCAATCTTTCATTTCCAAATGCCTATTCGTTATAACAAACTGGTTGTGCCATAGACATCTTAAACTCAATACTTCCAGGGGCAGCTAGGTGGCGCAGTGGATAGAGCTCCTGCCTTGGAGTCAGGAGAAACTGAGTTCAAATTCGACATCAGACACATAGCACTCACTAGCTATGTGACCCTGGGCAAGTCACTTAACCCCAACTGCCTCCAAAACAAAACAAAACAAAACTCAATATGTCCAAAACTAAATTCATTTTCTTTTCTGTCAAGCCCTCTACTCTTCCAAATTTGCCTACTACAGTTGAGGGCCCCAACCATCCTCCTGGTCACCCAAGCTCAAAATTATGGTGTCATCCTTGACTCTACTCTGTCATGCCCCAACCCCACATCTGATCTGTTGCCACATTTTGTCATTTCTACCTTGACAACATCTCTCCTCTATATCCCCTTCTCTCCTCTCACACTGCCCCCACCCTGGAGCAGGCCCTCATCAACCTCATGCCTGGACTACTGGAATAGCTGCTGGTAGGTCTACCTGCCTCAAGTCTGGCCCCGCTCCAACCCATCCTCCACTTGGCTACCAAAGGAATCTTCCTCAATTAGCTCAGGTCTGACCAAGTCACCCCACTGCTCAAAATACTCCAATGGCTGCCTATTATCTCAAAGATCAAATAGACGGTTTTTGTTTGGCTTTAAAGTCACTTTTTTTTTTTTTTTTGCTTTTTGGTGAGGTGATCGGGGTTAAGTGACTTGCACAGGGTCACACTGCTAGTAAGTGTTAAGTGTCTAAGGCTGGATTTGAACTCAGGTCCTCCTGACTCCAAGGCCAGAGCTCTATTCACTGAGCCACCTAGCTGCCCCTTTAAAGCCCTTTGTAACCCAGCCCCTTCCTACCTTGCTGGTCTTCTTACACCTTTTCCCCCTCTATGATACATTTATGCATCCATACCGGTCATCTTGCTGTCTCTCCACACAGGACTCCATCTCTCCATTCCCTGCCTCTCTCCTGCCTGCACCCCATGCCTGGAATGCTCTCCCTCCTCAACTCTGCCTTTTGGCTTCCTTCAATACTCAACTCAAATCCCACTTTCTGCAAAAAGCCTTCCCTGGTCCCCCGCCCCAGCCCTCCTAGTACCTTCCCTGAGATTCCCTCTCATTCACACTGTCTGTCTGACGGGGACGAGGTTTTTGCCCTTCTCTGAATCCCCAGTGCTTTGCACAGTACCTGGCCCACAAGTCCTTGCTAAATGCTTGTTGACTGACTGACTGAGATTAGGTGATTTAAGGGTACTCTGTTTTGGAACTAGAAAGCTGATCACATGGTTACTCATTTCTGAAATAACATTTTATAGAGAAGTTGAAATTGCACTTAGATATTGATCCTCTGTTGTCTATGACTGAACTTAGTGTTCAAATTGACATACGAAAAGAATATGTCAATCTGTACTTTCCCAACTGGGAAGCTGGAAAAGTGAACAGAAATCTGGCATTGATGTGAAGGTCTCCTGGTTCTTTGGGGGACCAGTTGGAAAGTTTTATTGGAACCATTTCTTTGTTTTCACCAGACAACTCATCCTTCCATTGCTCTAGGTCCAGTGGACAAGTGGGCCATCATCCAGACCTATTGGCCATCTATAATTATGGAAGCAAAGTCTTCTTCAGTTAGATCTCCAGGAGTGCAGCATATAGGCTTGGAAAAGCCTAGATTTCATTGGTGCCTGTTGATTGGAGGGCAGGCCTTCCCTGCAACTTGAGCTGATGCGGCTTAAAAAAAATCCTGTATCCCTCTGGGTCAAGATCAGGGACTATGCTTGAAGAGAGACAAATCCAGAACAGACCTCTCTTGGAATCTAGAGCTCTTTCTACTGCTCCCTCCTACAGGGCCAGCCAAGACCTTCCCCAAAGACAACTCGTGTTGAGATAACACTCGGACTCAAGCGACAATGAGCTAAGCACGCATCAACTTTTCCTGCCTGAAAGAGCTAGAAATGTGACTGGTGAGAAACCATCCAATGGTGGACAAGATGGCGGCTGAGCTCTTTTCTCTGGCTGCGCTCCTCAATTTACTTATTTGTGTGCCTCTTGTGTCTTTCCCGTGGGAGCAGACTCTGTCTCTCTTTAGAATGTGCAGGTCACACACACACACACACACACACAGCACTTAGTAGGTACTTAATACATGTGCCCTGATTGTTTGAAAAGGCGCCTGAAGCAGCTGCAGCCATGTAGTGAGGCTGGCGGTAGGAACAAGAGAATATTTAGCTGTGGGGGGGGGGGTGGCACCCACATGGCAGAAGCTGTTAAATAGCTCAGTCATTTCACCTGACTCTCAACTGAGACAGACAGTCGGCGTAATTCCACCTGGAAAATAAATTAATCTGAGTGAGCTCTGATGTGGAGGTAAGGCCTTAACTAGGCCACGTCGCAGGTACCTTGTGACGCTACCTTACCTGCTTTATGTCGCTTTTTAACTGCATGATTCCTGCCCGTTCAGTTCTGGTCACCCCAGCAGCACCGATTTCATGAATGGAAATAGCGGGGCTGACATTGGAATCAGCAGGACGCACTATGGGTAAGAATGAGAGAATGAGAATGACAGCAGGAAGGAGAGAGAGGGAGGGAGGGACAGAGGGGGAGGGGAAGGGAGAGCAAGAGGGAGGAGAATGGGAGAAAGAGGAAGGGGGAGGGAAGAAGACAGGGAGAGAGGGAGGGAAAAAGAGGAAAGGAGTAAGAGACACTGAGAAAGACACACACAGAGGGGGAGAGCGAGTAAAAGCACGGGGCCCAGAAAGCCAGGGGCTTCTGCCAGTGAGTGCTTTCAGCTAACCAACCCTCCCTCCCTCACTTCTCCACCAGCTCTGTGCCCCTCCCTGAGGATAGCCCAGGGCCAGCTCCAACTTCTGTCTGTGGCCCCACCTCTCATTCAGTAACCTTGGCATCATCTCTGCCCCTCCTCCTCCACCACATCTCATCTGATCAGTTACCAAGTTCTGCCAATTGGACCTGTGACGTGGCCTGCATACATTTCCTCCTCTCCACTCACTGGACTGCTGCCCTAGGATAGACCCTCAGCCCCACCTTCCTGGACCACTGCCTCCTCCAAGGGAACACTAACCATTGGGGAATCGGCAAGGCCCTGTATACCACTTGGTGCCTGAGCTGGACCCCAAGGGCGGCACACAGCTCTGGAGAAAGCCCAACCGAGAGAAGGAGAGGAATGCTATCAAGGAGAGCTCAAGCACTCTTGGTACTGAGAGCCAGCCCTGAAAGCCACAGGAAAACCATGCAGTTAACTCACCAAAAGCTTAATGGCCATACAAGGATGTTTTCCAGGACAAGGGAATTGTAAAAAAAACAGGATATAAATGTGCCAATGAAAGGCAATGAGCCAGCTTACAAAAATAAAAAAAATGCCAGTCTCATCATGGACAGAATTTCCATTGAGCTCAGCTCCATTAGGGAACCTGCATGCCCACTGGCACTCACTGGTGCCCTCCGGCCTCCATGCTCTTGTTCACACTGTTCCCCATACCTGGAATGCCAAACTCTCCAACTCACTGCTTGAATTTCTGCCCATCCTTAACGTCCTAGGTAAACATCACCTCCACCAAGAAATGCTGCTGGGAGGTCATCCCCACCCACTCTCCAAACCTCACACGGCCTATTCATCTGCAGCCCTCTAGCGCCCTGGTTGTATCAAGTCACACATTAGAGCCATCTGACTAAACTGGAAGCTAGGCTACCCTCTAGTGCAGTACCCAGCAGACAGGGGGCACTCAGGAAGCACTTGCCCTCCCCCACCTGGCACCATGGCAAAGCTGAGTAACTGTTCTGTTCTGACTTCCTGGCATGAGCTGCTGCCATCTTGGCTACTGCCAAAACCACAGGCACAGATGGAGAAATAGCTAAAGCCTGGAACTCCGGGGCAGAGGTGAGAAGGCGCACCAGCTGGGCAGGTGTGTAAATGGGTGCCCAAGAGGCTGAGCAGGTGCTGCTGGGACCCCAGAGCCATTCAGCCATTCAGTGCTTGGGCCTCCTGGGGGCAGAGCGGCAGCCCCCCCCCCCCCCCAACTTCCTACTGTGACAGCCACAAATTGGGTCCCCAGAGCCCCACACAAAATCTACTGCGGCCAAACCGGCACGGACTGGAGTGCTTCAGGCTTACCGCTTCTTTCCACGCCAAACTCCTTGCCGCTGAGAATGTGGTGTAAGAGATTCTTCATGGCTGAAGGACTGAGGTTCATCAGGCTCTCTGTGGCTTCTTCAGCTGCACGTGAGAAAACCAAAGATGGAGGGCAGTGGAGGCCACTGGGGCTTATGGCCCCGGCTCCTTCCTCCTTTCCCTCACTTTCTTTCAGGATCCATTTCCATTTTCACCATCCACTGGACTGTAAGAATATATTCCTTGCACCATATCAATCACTCTGGAAGCATTGTTAAAGGCTGCTTAAGAGCTGGCCTCCAGCCTCCCGAGTCAGGAAGAGCCAAGTTCAAGCTGTGCTTCTGAGACCTCCCGGCTGCGGGACCCTAGACAGGCCCCTTAACCTCTTAAGGTTCTGAGACTCGGCATTGACTGGAAGACATCAACCCTACACGGGTCGAGGGAATTCCCAAGAGCATGGAATCACTCTGCCAGGTGCTGGGGCCACAGGGACACACAACAGGAGATTCCACAAGACAGACTGCTTTAGGGTAGATGGGAATACTCAGAGGCTTGTCCCCCAATCTCTCGTCTTTTCTTAGCTACTAAATGGCCCCGTCACTGCTCGCTCATGACTTCGTGGAAGCAGAAATGGTGCAGAGAAGGACGAAGGAGTCGATGGGATCAAGGCATCCTAGGCTTTAGGGACAGAAGGAACCTTCAGGCACTTGTTTTAGTCATGTCCAACTCTTCATGACCCTATTGGGGGTTTTCTTGACAGAGACACTGGACTGGTTTGCCATTTCCTTCTCCAGGTCATTTTACAGATGAGGAAACTGAGGCAGACAGTAAAGTGACTTGCCCAGGGTCACACAGGTAGGAAGTGTCTGAGGCTGGATTTCCTGACTCCAGGCCTGGTGGTCTATCCATTGTGCCACCTAGCTGCCCGGAAGGGACCTAGACATTACCTAGCGACTGGACCTGGAATTTCAACAGTCTAGGGCTAGGGTGGGGAACCTGCAGCTTCGACGCCACATGTGGCCCTCTAGGTCCTTGGGTGTGGCTTTTTGACTAAGTCTAAGTTTGACAGAACAAATCCTTTTATGAAGGGGATCTGTTCTGTGAAGTTTGGATTTGGTCAAAGGGCTGCACTTGAGGACCTAGAGGGCCACATGTAGCCTCGAGGCTGTACGTTCCCCACCCCTGGTCTAGGGAACTCCCAGGTAAGGAAACTCTCTACCAGTGCTATTCACCATCTTCTGTTTACTGTACAGTCTTAGAAAGCTGAGCAGAACACTGAGAGGACAAAGGACTTGCCCAAGGTCCCACTGCCAGGAGGACATAAGTAGAACTCAACTCTTTCTGACTCCAAGGCCTGGTGGTCATCCACTCTGCCTCTCCTCCTTTACTGTAATTACCCTGACGTGGCCTGAAGAGGTTACGTTGCTGGTAGCAAGCGGCAGAAGCGGGATTAGAACAGAGGCCCTCTGACTCAGCTCCATTCTTTCCCATGTATCCCGGGGACAGGTCCTCAACTCTGCTATCGGGAAGGATGGGTGAAGAGGCCGTGGCCTGGAAACTCGATAGAGTCAGGGCTTGGGTTTGATCCTGTGGCCACCAGGAGCCAGGAGCTGGCTAAAGTTGGTGCCAGGACACATGCTCCAAGTGGCTGGGGCTGCTCCCTGGACCTCATCTTTCTGCCCTTTCACATGGACGGATGGAAGTTCCCAAGGTTCTGTCCTTGGCCCTCACCTGCTCTCTTTGCCCTCTCGTCTTAGGAATCTCAGCCACTGCCCTGGATTCGGCGAGCACCTCCAGGCAAACCTGGATCTTCGCCCTGCACTTTCCTGCAGAGCTCCAAACGCCTGCTGGGTGAACCTGACCAAAACTTCTGACTAAGCGCCCCCCCAAGCTGAATTCCTCAACTGCCCCTCCAAACCTTCCTTTCCCCTTTGCTGATGAAATCACTCTCCAGGCTCAAACCCTCCAAGTGATTGTGAAACCTCCTCTTCCTTCACACCTTAGGTCCAATGACAAAGTGGTAACCCGTTGGCAGAGGAGCAGGCTTAGCAGGGGCAATTTGGGGCTCGGCACTATGGGTAACAGAGGTGCTAGGCTGCTTTGCTTTCTTCTGGAACCAAGAGGCTAAAAAGCAAAAGTAAAAGCAAGCTCTCCGGGGAGATACCTGAGCAGTGGAGTGAGTGCTCCAGCTCTGTCGCCATCACTTGGATGATGAGGCCAATCCGGAGCCGGAACATCTCCGCAAAAAGGCTGGGCTGAGTCCGCATGTACATGGCCAGGTACACCAGGATTTCCTGGACACGGAACGGTTTCCACGAGAGGGAAGACAAGAGCAGGGGAGTCAGGGGACCACGCCCCCTTGCTGACTCCGACAATGAAGGTGCTAGTCACCAGGCCGGCTTGGCCACTTGGCTCACCTGTGTGAGGATGGAGACGTTGACATCGTTTTCACTGGCTTCATCGATTAGCTTGCTGAGCTCCTCATAGGGTAGAGGACTAAGGGATGGAACCTTCCGTCATTGCAAAGAATGTTCTAGTCTTATCAGGACCCCCCTACCCCCCCGAATTCAGCACATTCAAAAGAAGACTGTGACCAAAGGGATTGTGCTCCTGCCTCAGGCCCCAGGCTCAGAAACCATCTTGGAGCTCTCTGTCCCCTTCAGCCCACTAGCCAGTCCACTGTCTAAGGCTGCCTGGTGTTCCACCATCATAGCTTTCTTTCTTGGGGCCATTCCTTCACTCCCCCCGCCCCCAGGGACAGCACCATGCTGTCATGGAAAGATCTGCCTCTGCTACTTATTCTCTGTGTCACCTTGAGCAGGTCACTTAAACTCTAGGCGAGGCGGTGAGTGTCCTCATTGGCGAGACAATTTTGAAGATCCCTTCAAATTCTAAAAGTATGACTCTGAGCCAGTGAAGCACAAGAAGGCAGCCTGGCTTCAAAGTCTAGCTGTGTGCTCTTAGGTAAGTCACTTCCTCTCTGTAGGTCTTAGAAAGAGACATGGGCACCAGCTGTCTTTCCAGCTTTCTCTGGCTTTGTTCCATCCCACAACAGAAACCAGCCAGTCTTCCTTCCATGAACTGCACAATGACTCCCGACTAGAGCTTGGACATGGGGCCCGCCTCCCTTTCTGATACCCCTCCTCTCCTGCTGCCCCTCCCCCTCTGCCTTCCTGCTCCAGGTGGGTTTGCTGGTTACCCCTGCCACCTCAGAAGCACTATGAGTGCCAGGGTCTTTCCTCCCTGAGGCCAAGGTAACAGCCTCATACAGCAGCACCCACTTCTCCTGTGCTCCCCTTTCGGTCTCCTGTTCTTTAGTCTTCCCACCCCCAACCCTTGGCGCTGCTGTCTATCCAAGCCACGGTGAGGCTACGCTTCAAGGGTGACTTGGAGAGGCCTGGCTATTTTAGTTCTGTACTACTGCATGTGATTCTTTGTGTTTGGACCACTTCATTATGGTACACCTTAGGCTAGAGACAGAGTTCTCAGCCTGGAATTAGGAAAACTGGGTTCCAATCTTGCCTCTGGCACTGGTTGGGTGACCCTGGGGACTTAACCTTTATGGGCCTTAGGAAGTTTCCTAGGACTTATCTATTACATTTCAGACAGACCATGATCCTTCACATAGTATAGGTATACACGTGCCACATACATGTAACACACAGGCACGCATACATTTTGTCGTTGTTCAGTTGTTTTCAGTTGTGTTTAATTCTCCGTGACCCTACTGGGGGTTTTCTTGGGAGAGATACTGGAGTGCTTTGCCATTTCCTTCTCCAGCTCCTTTTACAGATGAGGAAACTGAGGCAAACAGGGTAAAGTGACTTGGCCAGGGTCACACTAGTAAGAGTCTGAGGCCAGATTTGAAATCAGGTCTTCCTGACTTCTGATCTTACAGCCTAAGTGTGCCAGGGCAGAGATGCTAAAAGGAGTGAGTGTGCATATGTGGGGGGCGGGGAAGGAGAGAGAGAATGCGTCAGTGTCTGGGTGTGCACGTGCACCCACCAGGGTTCCTAAAGTCACAATGTCTAAAGGCCAGCAGGCTTCAATGATGGGCCGAGTCTAAGGAAACATCAATTGACCTGGCATCAGGTCAATGCATGTTAGTCCACAAGCAGAGGTTGACAACAGTGCAAACCGCCAAGAAATCAGGTGCCACCTGAAGGTGCATTAAGAGAGGCCTCATGACTAAAAAGGGAAGAGGTAGTCATGCTGCCTCCCCCTGGCTGGGCCGGGCCACATCTGGCAGGATCCAGTTTGTTCCAGATGCCACTTTTATGAAGGCCACTCATAGGCTGGGGATAGTCCTGAGAAGGGTGACCGGGGGCGGGGGCGGGGACTGAATGTCATGCGACATAGAGACTGGCTGAGGGAAAAGGAGAGGAGGAAACAGACGTGGCACGCGTGCTGTCAGAGAAGGGCAGCTGGGTAGGAGAGTGATCAGGGGGAAGGGCCAACAGCCAGGAGGCCAACATCGGTCCATTGTAAGGAAACACCAAAAAGGGGGCACAGAAGGACAGCAGCTGTGCCATCACACAGAGGTAGGCCCAGGGTGGCCAGTGCAAGAGAAGAGTCATGAGTCAGGGGCAGTAGGAGACCCCTCACTAGCCCCAATCATGCCAGCCCAGCCCATGGGCTTCCTTAGTCTCCTGCCCCTGACTCAGTTTCCTCCCCTCTGGAGCACAGACCAGTATTCTGCCCCTAGTGCCTGCCTGTCCTGTGGTGACCACACATGGCCACACTACTGCTCTTCCAATGGCCTCATTCTCACCCACCCCAATCTCTGGAGGGCTCCAGACAGACTTCAAAGAACTCTCTTGAACTTCCTTTCACCGGATTCTCGACCACCCTGAGATACACAGAAAAGATCACCCCATTTCACAGGGGAAGAAACTGAGGGAAGTGATCCGCCTAAGGTCACAGTTTTAACTATTAGCAGAATCAGGTCTGAAACTCAAAGCACCTGCTACCATTGTGATTTACTCCACCGCTTGTATGCCTACTGGGCACGTGTGAGCTTGTGCACATACACGCGTGCACACACACACATACACACTCACACACACACACCCTAAGCCTGGCAAGGCAAGTGTGCCAGATGAGTGGGGTCAGTCAAAGCAACAAGCTCTAATAAAGCAAACCAGCCAACTCACGCAGAGATGGTCTTCTCCCGAGGCTCTGGAGGGAATCCCACCGTCAAGTGCTTCTGGTGAGACAGCAGATCTGTGCAGGCCTAAAAGACAGTCCAATAAGGCAAGTCAATGGCCACTTCCCCGGTGGGAGACAGAAGTGGGGCCTAGTGAGAGCTGGCCTGGGCTCCCCTCCCTCAGCCATTCCTGAGGATCCAACCGCCTCCCCCAATCCCAGTGGTTTGGTAAATCAGTCTTATACACGTGACAGCTGCAAACTTCAAGTACATCCACTTCCCCAGCTCCTCGTGTGAAATGGATGTGGTTCCCTAATGGAAAACTGTCTTTTCAAAAAAGACTTACAAATCATTTACTTTGTTATGGTCGAAAAATGTCCCAAATTCAAAGCCACTGTCCAAAAGTTATTTAAGTAATTCCGTCCAAAGAGAAGCAGGGGAGGGTGGGTGGCTGGAAAGCTGAGCTCAGAATAGGGAAGTCCTGGGTTCAAATCCTGCCACTATCACACACTGGCTATGGGACGCTGGACAGTTCTCTAAGATGATGAGTTTGAGGCAAATTGCCAACGTTCATCAGCAAAAGGAGTTTCCGCATTAGAAGGTCCCTGCACCAATAAAGCCACAGATCCAGACCTTCCCTTCCCCCAACAGACATCCAAAAATGAAAAGCAACATCAAGTCAGAAAGTATTTGGGAGTGATGATGACATGGTTAGCACTGTGCCAGGCACTATGGGCAAAATGAAGTCTAAGATGTGGCTTTTCAAACTCTGTGAGGCCACCAGTGCCTTCCCTGGGGTTCCTTTCCCACATCCCTTACAAAGAAGAGGGTTAGGGTTTACCTCGTCCAGGGCTTCCACTTTCTTCTTTAGAATGCCGGAGATGTAGCGGATTAGGCCCCAGTGACGCACCTCCCCAGCTTTGGCATACAGGGCAGCGAGGAGCTCCCGGACAGTCCCACCCTCTTCACCAGACATGGTGGTGTTCCAGTTAGGACCCCTAGGGTTTGAAAAAACAGGAGGAGAGCACACACAGTCAATTTGGGAAAACCGTCCAGCACTTTCAATGATGACAAGCTGTCACGGCACAAAAATCTGTCTTTTAAAGAACAGGATCCCCCAATCTTGCACAGCTACAAATGATGGAACATCTTCATCTCGGGAGGATCCAAACTGTGGGTGACCCAGAGGGCAGAGGAGAGAGATGCGCCTGGTGGGGGGAAGGAGGCACAGTATCCAAGGCATACACGATGCCACTGTCAGAAGGCCGCAGGCTGCACTGGGACCTGGGGCAGGCCTCGAGACCCAGGGGAGGATTTAGCCACAAATTGCTCAGGACAAGAAGACACTGAGGTATTGGGGTGTGGACTGGTGGGGGGAATCCCCCACAGGGCCAGATCCTTCAGTCACTGAACAAGCATCTGTTAGTAGACACCTACTATATGCCAAGCATTGGGCTAAGCCATTAGGACTGAACAGTCCCTGCCCTGCGGGAGCTTATATTCTTTTGAGGGGAGAAACAACATATCTACTTTTCCCTCTACAGGAGAGGACAGCAGCAACTGGCAAGAATCTCCGGTCCTTTCATCACCCAAAGCTCTGTCCCCAGACTTCTGCCTCTTGGCAATGGTCCTGCCTCAGCCTGTCTCCTGTCCCTCCCTTCCCTACCCCCTCCCAGTGAAAATGCCCATTCCCTCATTGGCCAGCAGGCTGATTAAGGGATGACCAAATCTGAAAGGGGCACCCTCCTAGAAGAATCTGAATTTTAAAACATGATAACTTTTTAACTCGAATGAATGAAATCTATACAAGTGTAGCTTCAGGCAGCACGAAGAGCCAGTGGGGAAATTCCCCAGCATCTACTTCCAAGATCAGCTCTGCCCTTAACGACTGCTAACTTCTTCACCACCCCTTAAGCCTTCCTGCCTGACCCAACCTACCCTCCCAGCCTTAATGACCATTGTACCTCCTCCCATGCACCATAATCCAGCTAAATCAGCCTTCTCTCTGTCTGTCTCCCATGGCTTGGCTTTTCCACTGGCTGTCTCCCAAGCCTTCTCTTAGAGTCCTCTCCTCCTTCAGCCACCACCTTGTACACGAAGGCTTCCGGGTTCAGAAACACAAGTCCAGCTCTCATATTAGAGGGCTTCAGCACACATATTGATACTCTCTCAAAAATCCTCAGCTCCCAGTTCCTTAACTTACTCATTTCTCACAAGCAACTTTTCCACCTGACTGCAGCTACACACACAGATTATCATACTCTTGACTGTATCATGACCCCTAAGTGTTCCACTCCTTAGTATGTGACCTCCCCAAATCCCCTTATCGAATCATAATCTTCCATCATTCTATCTTTCCCTCCATCTCATGACCCCTAACCCTGTTCTCTATTGTCACTGTGACCTCCAATCTACCCACCCACCCCAGGCCATCACGCTGCACCGGTTCCACCCTCCTCCTTTCCTTATATTGCCCCTTGGTGAATCTGTATTATCCTCTATGCTTGAGACTCTGGTACCCTTATGCCATGGCCAATGTTGCTCTGCCAAGCCCCAACCTTGGGTCATTCCCAACATCCACTACCTTGGCTCCTACTCATATGCTGCTCGATGGAGCTGTGCAAAGTGATGACACGCATTTACATTACATAATCTCAGCTGGGCCCTCGCTGCAGCAAAGCAATCATTTTAAACATTCCCTATTCCATTCACTAACCAACTCATCATAGTGGCTATTCCCAAACTTTTCATCCTGTCCCAAACTTCCCATTGCTCCCCTTTTCCTATCTTCTCAGGAGAGGAATTTGTTTCATATTTCACTGAAAAAAAAAAAACTGGGGCCCATTCACCAAGAGCTCCAATCCCGTCCTCCTCATTTCACTTCCCTCAGATGCCTTCTGCCAGTCTCTTCTCCTTCTCTCCTGTGTCACCAGAAGAGGGGGCCCTTCTCCATGTCAGAGCAAAGCCCTTAACATGTAGCCCTGATTCCATCCCATCCTTTCTAGCAGATCGCCCCCTCTATCATCCTCTCCTTCTCTCTAATCTTCAATGTCTCCCTGTCTCTTGGATGCTTCCCTAATGCCTACAAACGCGCCCACGTCTCCTGTGAGCCATCACCACTGCCTCCTCCCCTTCCTGGCCAAACCTCTTCACAGAGCTGGCCACAGTCGTTGCCCCCATTTCCTGCCCTTTCATTACCTTATAAACCCTCTGCAATATGGCTTTCGACCTCATCACTCCGCCAAAACCGTTTTCTCCCAAGTTCTTAACGATTTCTTAGTTGCCAAATTGCATGGCCTTTGTGGCCTTGGACACTGTCCAGCACCCTCTTCTCCTGGCTTCTCTCCTCATTCTCCTCCTACCTCGGGGTTTTCTGTCTGGCTCTATCCATGTACTCTGTGTTGCCGTTCCTCACACAGGACACTCCTCGTTCGGACTCTGTGTCTTTTCACTGACAGTCTCCGGGGCCGGAATGCCCTCTTCATCTCTACCTCCACACGTTCTTCCAAGCTCAGCTCAAATGCGGCCTCCCAAAGGAGGCCTTTCTTTCCTATTCTTCATGGCTAGGGCCTTTCCTCTGACATTGCCTCCCATTTGTCCTGGCTAAATCTTGTCTGCATGTTGTCTTCTCCACTAGACTGGGAGCTCCTGGAGGGCAAGGACCATGTTTTTGCCTTTCTCTGTATCCCCAGGACTTGGCACAGTGCCTGGTGCAAAGTAAGCATTTCATAGATGCCAGCTTCTAGTAGCCCCCCTCCCAATCTACCTGAGATCTAACATCTCTGCATTTTTTATCCTTATATTTACTCTGTGTACACTTATGTATGTACCTCTCTCCACCATTACAATATAATATTCAAATTTTGCCTTGCCCCTGCCACTGTGCCCAGCCAAAGCGTGGTTACATTTGGAAGCTATGTCTGAGCCTCGTCTTGATCCCTTGTGAGCCACCCCGTCCTACTGGGATCTCAACCACTGGTTTGTAAGACAGAATGCAGCTTTCCATCCACAGCCTGCCTGGCCAGGCGTGTACCCTGACAAGGCCTCAATGACTATGACAGGAGACAAGGGATGCCCAGACCTTCTACGGAGTTCAGGAATAGCAGAGGGTCAGCAGCAGTGGTGGACCAGGCAGAGGAGCCATCAGACGTTGAGAGCTGGCAGGGATATCAGAAGCTGTCTAGTCCAACCCCCTTATTTTACAGAAAAGGAAACTGAGGCATAGGGAGGGGAAGGAACTTGCCCAAGGTCACATGAGGAAGGGACAGAGCTGGAATTCAAACCTCTGTCCATGGCTCCAAATCCACTTCTCTTTCCACCACTTTATGCACCAGCTCATGCAAGCTGGCTAGAAGACCACAGCATTCTATTTTCTCTCTCTCCGTCTTTCCCCAAGACCCATGGGTATTCAGCCCAGCCATGATCACTCTGACTCTGCCTTCCTCTCACCTTGCTCTGCCCTTACCAGCCTCTCTTCTTCCCTCTGCCCAAGAAAAGAATGAAACCAACAAGACCATTGGATTTTATACCGTATTCATGGGTAATCAAGCCCTTCCCACATGCAAAACTCATGGGCTTCAATGTGTCATCTACAGAGTTAAACACCCAATAGGGACTCTGTAAGCTTCAAAATCTCTGGGTCAGGATAACATACTTCATGGTGTAAAGCACGTAGAGGATGTCAGCTTGGTCCTGTAAGCTTGGGCACTCATGCAACTGGCCCACCAGGGCTTGGAAGTCTACCTCCCCTGATTCATCCCGGGGAAGGTGCATCTCCACATGGACAGAAGGAACCTGTAACAGTACAATGGAGCAGGGAAGGAGGAGGGGAAGGGGAAGGAGGAGGGGAGGGGAAGGAGGAGGGGAGGGGAAGGAGGAGGGGAGGGAGAAGGGGAAGAAGAAGGAGAAGGGAAAGGGGAAGGGCAGGAGGAGAAGGGACCCTCAAATGGCTTTCAGTCAATCAGGCAGAGCCCCCAGACCCGATCAATCTTTTCCCTTCCAATCCCCATGTCTACCAGAGGGCTGCAGCTCTGATATGTGTCAGCATCTGGGGAAAATACAAAGCCAGAAGCAGCTGGTGCCTCAGGCCTCTCATCTGCAACCAAAGTAGAACCAACACAACTGGTTGAAATCAAATGAAAGGAAACTGGTGTTTTCCTGAACCACTAGTTGTGCAGAGAAAGCCAGGGCAGTGGCTGCTCGCTTGGATTTGGGCCCATTTCCCAGAGGGGCGACAGTGGCTGGGTGTGCTTTCTGCCCCATTACCTGCTCAGCCCGTGGAGGGAGAGACGTGGTGTCCAGGAAGCTGAACGAAGTCCGGGAGGCTGGCAGGAGCTTTGAGGGAAGGTACACGTGAGCATCTGGAAGAAGGCAATGTTGGAGGAGGGTTGGAGGCATTAGGAGACTGAACGTTTCACACAGGTGCCCTAGGCCTCCAAAAGTGATCGGCCCCTGCTTCAGAAAACCCGGTTCCCACTTACTGGGCAGTTCTGTGGAGCAGCCAAGAGGAGCCGGCCCTTTGGGGTGAACGACTCCAAGGAAAGGAGCGTTGGTTCAGAACAGGAAGGAACCTCCAGAGTTGTAGAGCCTAACCCCCTCATTTTACAGATGAATAGACTGAGGCCTCAAGAGGTCACACAGGGAGCAGAAGTGAGATTTGAACCTAGTGCCTGTGCCTCCAAAGCCAGTGTTTTTTCTACCAGGTCACATGACTTGGGTTGCAGCTGAGGTTCTCACCTCAGAAAGGGGATAACACCAGAAACACTCCCACAAGATCCTGCACCAAGAGCAGTGAGTTTGGTCGCCCCTCCCTTGCCACGGGTACAAGCAGCTTCCCATATCCCATCTCCTGGCCTGGCCTACGAGACTCTCTGGTGCTCCTGGGCGAGGGCAACCCCTCTCTGCGCACAAAGAAGGGGACGGCTGGTTCCCGTCCTAGAGCCATGAAGAAGGCAGCCCCTAAGTGGAATGGAAGAAACCCACTTGCTGCTTCCTGTGGCTGCCAACGTCTGCTGTGGGCACTCACCAGAACCTGCAGGGAGGCGCCCTTGGGGCCTCCACACCATTGCCCAGGGAGAAGGACGAAAGGACGATCAAATGATTGCCTGAGCAAGGGAGCAGCAGAGCTGGGAGCCCAACTCCTTGTGTTAAGGCCCGCGGGCTAGTGGGCAAGCGGCTCCTCCCTCAGAGCACTCAGCACACTCCCTCAGGTCAGAGGCAAAGCCCCAGGGTCCACACACTAAGCGCTGTGCTGCCCGCCTTCAGTGGGGCCAATGTCAATACAGCTGTGGCTCTGGTTAGTGGGGGTCAATGGCCATGCGAGCTGAGTTTTCCCAGCTTGCAGTGGGCACACTTGGGGTCCCCCCAGCCCCGGCCATGGAGCACTGCTCTCCTTGGGGCTCAGAGGAGTGATGACAGTCTAGATTACAGGCCCTGCCGAAGGATGGAAGGCTGGGCGAGGCTGTGGGTAGAGCGTGCCACCCTGAGTGCACCCTCTAAGCTCCATGTTTCCCTCAGCCTTCTGTGGTTCTTGGCAATATCGTGTTCCCTTTCTCCTCCACTGATGAAATTATCTCTAATGGAGAGAAGCAAAGGTCCCTCCCCCTCCCCCAGGGGCCTCCTCTGTCCCCCTGACTATAGGTGGCTCCCCCTCTTCACTGCTAGACCTTTATGTTCCTCCTCCCCCTTCACTTCTTTTCCTCTTCTTCCTCCTCCAGGGAGCCATGGGATTACTCACTCTGTACATGCAGCTCCTTAGCCTTGGTCACCAAGGACATGAAGTCACGGGTTGTTTGCACTGCCGTTCGGAAGCGACTGAGCCCTCCCTGCTGGGCAGTAGGGGACAGTGTGGGCTTGGGTGCAGTGTGCTCCAAAAGGCGGTCTAAGTACCACAGGACTTCATCACCGCCACGGACTGCAGGGTTAGTTGGGGAGGACAGAGAAAAGGGGTACAGCTTAGTTCATTCTTTCCTAACTCACCCCTGGGAAATCGAAGGCCTGGCTTGCCCACACACAGGGCACCACACTGGAAACTCACAGGAAGAAAAAGATTGTGGAGCCATTGGGCAGACCCCAAGCCTTAGCCTCATTTATTCAGGAATCACTTATTTATTTATTCTTTCACCAGCTACGTACTGATGCACGCCCACCTTGCTGTGACAGTCTCTGCTCTCAGTTTATTATAATCTAGTCAGGAGGCTCATTATAACAGGGAGTAGGAAGGGACCCTTTCTCCTCAGAGCATACACAGAAAATGAAAGAGGGACCCAGATCCAGAGATGGGACAGACCTCAGAGGCCACAGTCTGGCATTCTTACCTCCTCCTCCTCTGTGGGCTCAGGGCCTTGCCTCCGTTAGCTTGATTCTTCTGAGAGATGACATTGCCCCTCGACCCTACTGTGACCCTACTGTGACCCTACTGTGATCCTCTGTACACTCCACAGATGAGAAGAGCAAGGCCCTCTGGTGGGAGCACCTTTACCTCCCTCTTCTTGTCACTGCCACCCATCCTCTTCCTCTCCCTGTCTCCCCACAACACACCTGACTCTGAATCACTTGGGTCTCCTTCCCCACTGTCTCCTGCTGCAAAACTGCCTCTCCAGCCCCAGATCCCATGGAGAGTGTTTGGCCGGTGGGCTGAGGGACCCGGCCACTGCCCAGGCTGGAGCTTCTGCCCCGGGACTTTAGCTCAGAAGCAGACTGCTGAGAAGGGAGGCCAAAGCAGATCAGTGATCAAAGCGTATTCAGTCAGGGTGAAGACAGGGAAGGGAGACCACTGGTGGCAGCCGCAGATTACAGCGGCCAATGAGATTCGGTGTCACCAGCTGTGGCTGCGTTACTCACCGTGCTTGGGGGAGTCCAAATCATCCAGCCAGTTGTCCGAGTACAGCTCTCCATCACCGTAGTCATCAATGTCATCGTCAATATCCCCGCCGTACAGCTTGCCCTCCTGGCCAGGATCCATGAAGCTCAGGTGGGTACAGCATGAGGTCGTCAGGAACTCGGACAGTTTACCTGCTTGGACCCTGATAATCAGGGGCAGAGAAAAGAGGGGCAAGTAGAGTGAATGTTCTTCAGGGGAAGGCTGCAGGTTTGGACTAGGGACCCCTGGTAGGGGCTCATTTGTGTTGAAGGCAGTGCAATTTCACACCATCCCTACACTGATTCTGAAACTACACCAACAAGGCCAAAGGGAAACGTCAGTACTCAACAGTCAACACACATGTTAAGCTCCTAACGTGTGTCAGGTACTGTGCTGACAGTCCCCAAATAGACCAATCAACTTTGCTTTGTTCCAACCACAGCCAGGCATCTAGCAAACCCATGTCTGGTCACAAAGGGAACTAGGAAAGAGAATGGGTACAACTGAGGACAAGTCTGTGACCACGATTCCCCCAAAGAACTCCAAGGCCATCCCTGCTTTGGGACGTAGTACAATGGAATGGAAAGTGGATCAGACTTGGAGTCAAAGGACCCGGGACATTCACAGCCAAGCTCCACTCTTTTCTGCCTGGGTGTCTTTGGCCAAGTTACTTCTCTCTCTGGGTCTCAGTTTCCTTCTCTGTAAAAGGAGGGGGTTGGACTACATGGTCTCTCTAAAGCTTGGATCCCTACAGCATATGTTTCTGTTTGTGAGCCAGAGTAGGAGTAAAAAGGATCCTCTCAGACCTCCAAGGTCAGGAGTCAAGCTCCAGAGTTGTGACTTTCAGTCTGGGCTGTTGTCAACACCATCTCATCATCTTGTCTCTGACACTGAAGCTGGGTTAACTAGTGGAAACAGCTCCCCTCATCACATAACACTGATCTAGGAGGCAGCCAGCGCCCAGCAGCAGCATGAAGGGATCTGTTGGTTCTCCCAAGCTGACCTACAGTCCCGTCCCACTCTGCCCCACCCACATCCTTTACTCCACAGGCCAACGGGAGAGGTCACTTACCTTGCCCCACCAAAATAGCCATCCTGCATTTTTCTGAGCACAGCCAGGACAGATGCATTTATGGTGGTTCCAGATTCATCTTAATATAGAGAGAAGAAATATCTAGTGCCAGAACTCTGAGGTTGTAAAAAAGTAACAAGTGTTTTCAACTGCCCCATCAGAGCCAATGGAGCCAATGGATTGCTTTCCCTCTCGGCCCTGAGTAGGGAGGGGGCTGTGTGGCATTTGAACAACCACGCGCCCTGGAAGGGCAGCCAATGCAATGATATTGACTGATGCTTGGCATGGGAGTCCCCAAGGCCACACCTCTATACCTCAACAAGATACTAAGATCCTCATGGAACCTCCATGGAGTACAGCTTTGGCCCAGAGCAGACTTCTAGGACGTACTCTGGGACTCACCCCTACATCAGGCCAGACATCTGGAGAACAGAATGGCTTCCAGGCCAGCCTTTCAGGAATTCTGGGCTATTCCAAGAGAGCCCTGACCAGGGACCTCCCTAAGACATCATCCCTCAAAGCAAAGATCCCAGCAAACAGTCTAAAGAGCTCAGCCATGGTGGACCTGAGCTTTTTCAGGGCTACCCCCATCTCGTCCTCCCAGTTGGAGTGCTGGGTTAAATCCTACCTCAGACACACACACCAGATGTCCTTTGTTTTTTTTGTTTTGTTTTGTTTGTTTTTTTGGTGAGGCAACTGGGGTTAAGTGACTTGCCCAGAGTCACACAGCTAGTGATCATTATGTGTCTGAGGCCGGATTTGAACTCAGGTCCTCCTGAACACACACCAGATGTCACAGGCAGGCTGTGGTCTCTGTGGGGGAGGGGGGGAAGCTCCCTCACTGATGAAAGCCCAGGGCTTCACCTCTTCCTTGTCCTTCTTTCTCTACCCACTCCTGACTTTTCCTGTGACACGTCTCCATATCCACTGCCACCTCCCCACTGCACGCCTCCATTGCTCCACAGCCGTGCTACGTGAAGAGCTCTCAAACGGCTAATCCTGCTGCCACTGGCCTGATCTGGCTGCCATACTCCTTCCAGCATGGCCTTCCCAGCTCCCTATGTCCTAATGCATCGAGGGTCAACGCTACTAGGCTCCAAGGTCCTTTAGGATCCCAGCGCTGCCTTTCCAATCTCACCTTTGTTTCCCATCATGCCACAACTGCCTCTCCAGCTCTGGCTTCTCCCCAGAACCTGCTCATTCCTGCCCCTGGGCAAGCATGAGAACCACCATGGTCTAGGTGAGGAAACCAAAGCTCAAGGTAGAGCTTGTGTACTGGGCCTCTTCCTGGAAGGTCGAGGGGATGAGAGCCCCAAACTGCCCCAGGAGATGCTCAGGCATTTTCTTTACAGCGATTCAGAGGCAGAGAGAGGCAGCCGGCAAGTGTTAAGAGTCTCCTCTATTACGCCTTATACAGGGAGTGGGAGACCTGGACTGTGCCCCCAACTCACCATGTGATCTTGGGCAAGTCACTGCCCTCCAGATCCTTCTACAAGGCTGAGTGCTCAGTCCAGCCCTCCATCACTGAGCTGGCGCTCTCCTCTTGGGCCATGCTACAGCCCTCAGAGCCTGGCCCATGGAACATGGTGTTTATTCCATGACCCACTGTCTTCCATTGTTTCATGGGAGTTCACCTTCTTTCCAATGAGATTTTAGGCTTCTTGAGGGCAGGACTCAGCACACAGTCACTACTCAGTAAGGTCACAAGGGGCGTATGAGTGTACTGACTGATGCTGATGCTGATGCTGGCACCTTCCACGCACAGCCTCAACTGAGGGAGGGAGGCAGGCACTATAGGCATCATCACCTTCACTGGTGATGAAATGAAAAAATGGAAAACCAGGAAGCCTAGAGAAGCACAGAGCTTCAGTGGAACCAAAGGAAACCCAAGGGGTTGTCGTGTCCAACCCAGCGCCCTAGCTGAGAGAGGAGGAGGAGGAGGGTGGGGCCCAAAGATGCTCCCTGCCTTGTGTAAGGTCACAAGGGCAGTATGCACCAGAAGCTGGACTGGGGCCTCCATTTCTCTTGATCCCAAGCCCAGCACTCTAATACCTTGACCCTCCAAAGAGAAATCAGACTCAAAGTACTCAGGAAATGGCACTCCCCTCAAGTGGGTGGACTTATGTTACCAGAGGGACCATTGGTTCCACTGAATTCCACTGACCAAGCGGCTTGTCAGTGAGTCTAGGAGCTTAGAGAAGGCAAGCATTCTTTGAGCCTTCTAGAATTCCAGCTGGCTGATTTCTTCCATGCCTCCCACAACTCTTACCAAGCATGGTGTGCAGGATGGGAAAGGTGATGATGGGGCGTCCTGTCATTCTCCAGCGGCTACACAGGTAGGAGAGGTCTGTCCGCAGCATCTCCACTATCATCTTGTTATCAAGGGCCAAATAAAACTGTTGCTGATCTATGAACTGGTGGAAAAAGGCAGGAGACAGAGGAAGTAGCCATCACCCGCATTCAATACTGCTGAGGAAATGCCCACAAACTCACCGCTTAAAAGTTGCCAAGGTGCTTGGTGGTGGCAACCACGTTTCAGGGGAGGCACCTAATGATGGGTGTGGAGATGCGTGCCAGGGGCAAGGATGGAAGACTATTCCCCTCACCCCCTCCCCGCACATGATGCTGTCCACGGGAATCAGTCAGTCAACGAGCATTTATGGCATGGCCTCTGGGGCTTCAGTCAAACGCCCGGAGCTTGGCATGACAAGAGAAATATCAAACTGATATAAAGAGCAGGATTGGGGGCCTTAATAGGTACATTTAGGAAAAGTGCTGCTCTCTCCCAAGTTACCACACCCAAAGGCCTTTTCTCAGTCCTCATTCTCCTGCACCTCTCTGCCGGTCACTCTTTCCCCCTTGATCCCCACCTCTCTAGGTTTTCAGGACAATTTCCCCTGCCACGGGTCCCTTCCCCTCCTCCCTTTCCGCTGGCTCCTTCTGTCTCCTTTGCTGGATCCTCTAACCAAGGCTCTGCCCTGGGCCCTTTTTTCTCTTCTCCCTCCAGACTACTCTACTTGGTGATCTCCTTAGCTCCCATGGATTGCTGATTCCTGCCCCAACTCTCTGCTGATGGCCAGTCTCTCATCTCCCACCAACTTTCAGACATCTCAAACTGGATGTCCAGTAGGCATCTTAAACTCCACATGTCCAAAACAGAGCTCATTCTCTTTCCCCCTAAACCCTGCCCCCCCACCTTCCCTACTGCTGTCCAGAGCAACACCCTCCTCACAGTCCCTCAGGCTCTCACCCTAGCAGTCATCCTGGACTCCTCACTCTCTCACCCCGCCCCATATCCAATACGGTGCCAAGGCCTGTCCAGTGAACCTGCGTAACATTTCCCAAATATGCCCCCTTCTCTCCTCTGACACTACCCCCACCGTGGTGCAGCCCCTTATCACCTCACCCCTGGACTATGGCAATAGCCTACTTTGGGGGGGGGGGGGGTCCTGCCTGCCTCAGGTCTCTCCTCACTCCAATCCATTCTTCACTCAGCTATCAAAGTGATCACCCCACCCCCACTCACTAAACTCCTGTGGCTCCCTATCACCTCCAGGAGCAAAGCCCTTCATGACCTAGCCCCCTCCCTTTCCAGTCTTCTTACACCTTGCTCGCTCACATGTACTCTTTGATTCAGTAGCCCTGGCCTCCTGGCTATTCTACCAACAAGACACTCCATCTCTTGACTCCAGGCATTCTTTCTGGCTGTCCCCCAGACTTGGAACACTCTCCCTACTGTCTCCTGCCTTCCCTTGCTTCCTTTAAGTCCCAGCTAAAATCTCACCTTCTATAGGAAGCCTTTCTTTCAGCCCTGCTTAATTCTAGTGCCTTCCTTCTATTAATTATTTTCCATTCATCCTGTATGTAATTTGTTTGTACATACCGGACAAGAAGAAGCTCATGCCTTCCTGGCCAGTAGATGTAATTGCCATCCAAGTTCCATTCATTCACCAGCCCATTCTACCCACCTGTGGCGTGAAAGCAAAGATGGTTTTGCGAATGTCGTAGAGCTTAGATGTTCCTAGGACTCCCATGTGTCGGTATGGTCTTCCACTGAGTTTCATCCGGCTGTTGCGGCCTAAGACAGGATTGAGAAATTGTCACCAGGTTGTTATTAGACTGCAAATTTGTTCTGAGTGTCCAGAGCTCAAAAAGCGTTTTGAAAACCAAGTAAGAGAGGTAGAAGAAAAACTGGGAAGAGAAATGACAGTGATGCAAGGAAATCATGAAAAGAGTGTCAACAGCTTGTAAAGGAGACACAAAAAAATACTGAAGAAAATAACACCTTAAAAAAAAAAAGACTAGGCCAAATGGAAAAGGAGGTATAAAAATCCACTGAAGAAAAAAAGCTTTAAAAAGTAGAATTGGCCAAATGGAAAAGGAGGTACAAAAACTCACTGAAGAAAATAATTTCTTAAAAAATAGGACTGAGAGCAGAACCAGAACCAGCAGTACACAGTAACAGTCACATTGTGTGATGACAGACTTTGATAGACTTAGCTCTTCTCAGCAATACAACGATCTAAGACAACTCCAAAGGCCTCATAATGGAAAATGCTATCCACATCCAGAGAAAGAACTATGGGGTTTGAATGCAGATCGAAGCAGACTATTTGCTCTCTTTTTCTTTTGTTGTTTTATTTCTTCTTTCTTGTGGTTCCTCCCATTCGTTCTAATTCTTCTATATATCATGACTAATGTGAAAATATGCTTAATATGAATGTATAGGTGAGCCTATATCAGAGTACTCACCGTCTTGGGGAGGTAGGAGGAGAGGAAGGGGGAGAAAATTTAAAACTCAAAATCTTATGGTGGAAGTAAATGTTGAAAACTAAAAATAAATAAATTATTTAAAAAACAAAAAAAAATTACGATTGAGCAAAACAATAAAACAAAACCAAAAGAATGGAAAATATATAAGACAACATGAAATATCTCATTGGAAAAACAACTGATCTGGAAAATAGATCCAGGAGAGATACTTTAAAAATTACTGGACTACTTGAAAGCCATAATCTGAAAAAGAGACTAAACATCATCTTTCAAGAAATTTTCAAGGAAAACTGGCCTGATATTCTAGAACCAGAGGGTAAAATAGAAATGGAAAGAATCTACCAATCCCAAAATGAAAACTCCCAGGAATATTATAGCCAAATTCCAGAGCTCCCAGGTCAAGGAGGGAATATTGCAAGCAGCCAGAAAGAGACAATTCAACATATCATGAAGACACAGTCAGGATAACATAAGATTTAGCAGCTTCTACATTAAAGGACTAGAGGGGTTGGAATATGATATTCCGGAGGGCAAGGGAGTTTGGATTACAACCAAGAATCACCTACCCAGAAAAACTGAGTATAATCCTTCAGGGGAAAAATGGACATTCAATGAAATAGAGGACTTTCAAGCATCCTTGATGAAAAGACCAGAGCTGAATA